CTTGTATCTTTTCTTCCTTTCGTTATACATTCTGTCTGTATCTCTCTCTCTCTCTCCCTTTCGCAACGCGCGCGACGCGGAGAGCGAACTGGAAGCGGGAAGTGGCTGCTATCTTCTGGGGGTGGGGGGGAGTGACTGCTCCCTTGCGCTCTTACCTCCCCCGTCGCACACGCAGCGCAGGGTTGGCAAGGGGAGGGGGCAGCGGCTGCCCTCGCGCCCTCCACGCGCGCGCGCGGGGAAGGACGTGGACGTGTGGGGGCGTGGTTGCGCTTGCTCTTGCTCTTGCTATTGCTCTCTCTCTCTCTGTTTCTCTCCCTCTCTCTCTCTCTCGCTCTCGCTTTCTCTCTCTGTTTTCTCTGGTTCTGACTCTGTCTCAATATCTGTCTCTGTCTCTGTCTCTCTCTCTCTCTCGCTCTCTCTCTCTCTCTGTCTCTGTTTCTCTGTCTCTGTCTCTGTCCCTGTCTTTGTTTGTTTCTCTGTCTTTCTCTGTCTCTTCTCTGTCTCTGCGTCTGCGTCTGTGTCTGTGTCTGTCTTTGTCTCTGTCTCTGTCACTGTCTCTGTCTCTGTCTCTCTGTGTCTCTCTCTCTCTCTCTTTCCTCTCTCTCTCTCTGTCTCTCTCTCTCCCTCTTTTTGTTCTTTCTCCCCCTCTCTCGATGTATGTGTGTCTATAAACAATTGCGCTTCCCCCGCCCTGGGGCTCCGCCCACTGTGGTATTATCGGCGGCAAATCCCCAGCACCACCCTCCCTGGGCGTCCAAGAGAGCCCCCAGAGGGCCTGAAGGCGGCCCAGGACGCCCCCGAGGTGATCCAAGGCTGTCCAAGCGGGCCCCCCGACGGTTCTGGAAGCGCCCAAGGGCGTTCAAGATCGCCCCCAGAGGCTTCCAATAGTCCCCCAAGAGCTCTGGGGAACCCCTCGAGAGGTCTAAATCATTGAGGAACCCAGGGGAAATACAGGCTTTCCTGTTTTCTCGCATTTCCGCTTCCGACACCCATCCGAGGCTCCAGCATGGCCCCCAAGAGAGCTCCAAGAGGATCCCAAGAGGCCTTCCGAGCGGTTCGAAGTGGCCCCAGGAGGCCGCAAGACGTTCCCGTGACGCCCGGAGGGGCACCGCCGAGGCCCCGACGACGCTCCGGAAGCGCATTGGATGCGGAAGTGCGAGAGCACAAAAGTCATCATATTCCTCCTGTTTTGCAACGACTCTGGGCTCTCGAGGACTTCCCCATAGCTCTTGGGGGACCTTCTGAAGGTTTCTGGGGGCGATCGGGGGTGCTCCAGGGGGCCTCCCCAGAGCCAATTAAAAGAGTCTCCCTCAGATCCTTTCTTCAAGTTCGAGCCCCCCGCCCTCCGTTCCTTCCTGTACCATGCCTTTCGGCGTACCCCCGAGTGCGTCCAGTCCGTTCTCCTTGATCTCTCTCTCTCTCTCTCTCTCTCCTGCTCTTGGTTACTCTGTGTCTCCCGTTCCACATCCTTCTCCTTCCTCTCCTCCTCCCTCCTCCCCGCTGCGTCATTTCCCCGTCTCTCCTTGACGCCTTCCTCTCTCCGCCTCCCTCATGCGTTTCCGTGTCCCCCATGCCTCATCCTCATCTCTTCTTCATTCCTTTGTCCCTCCGCCTCACTCACCAGCATCCAGCTCCACGATGCGGAGGGAGGCCCAGCTTGGAACAGAAACCGTCCTCCCTGTCCTTTTTTCTCACGTCCCTCATATCCCTCAACTCCTTTTTTTTCAAGTCCCTCCAATCCTGCCTAGCAATTCCCTCAATTCTTTGTTTTCCCGACCCCCCCTCCTTTCCTTTCTGTCCAAGGCTGCGGCGTTCCCCCACATGCGTTTCCGTTTTCCCCATCCTTTGTAGGCTCTCCCTGATTCAGGAGGGAAAACAGCACACAGACACAATTCATCGTCGATTCCTTGGAAAATATGGGAACCATGGGAAGTGGGGGGAAGACAACAACCCAGAAACTAAAACTATGGGACAATATGGTGAATCCTGTTTTTTGTGTCTATTTATTTGTGTGTCCCAGGGCCCCTTTACTGATCTCGCTCTCTCTCTTTCCTGCTCTTGGTTATCCTGCGTCTACCGATCCACATCTTTCACCTTCCTCTCCTCCTCCCTCCCGTGTGCTGCGTAGTTTTTCCGTCTCCCCCTTCTTCGTCTCTCCATCGGGCCTTACTTTCTGCGCTTCCCTGATGCCTTTCTGTTGCCCCAATCCCTCCTCATTTCTTTTTCAGTCTCTCAAAAAAGGAATCCACGTGAATGCTTCTTTTTTCAGGGTCTACCCCCCTCCGTTTCCTCCTGTCCCCGGATTTGGCGTGCCCCCGAGTGCGTTTCCAGTTTCCCCATGCCTCGCTGTCCGTTCTACCTGTTTTTTTCTGCTCTTGGGTCTTTCGCGTCTCCCGTTCTTCTCCTTCCTCTCCTCCTCCCTCCTCCCCGCTGCGTCATTATTCCATTTCTCTCTTCCTCGTCTCGCCTTCACGCCTTCCTTCCTCCGCCGCCATCATGCGTTTCCGTCTCACCCACCCTTCGCTATTCGTTCTCCGTGATCTCTTACTTGCTCGTGGTTCTCCTGCGTCTCCCGTTCCACGTCCTTCTCCTTCCCCTCCCCATCCCTCTTCCCCGCTGCGTTCTTTCGCCTTTTTCCTCCTCCTCCTCCTCCTCATTTCTCCTTCACTCTCTGTGCTTCCATGCGTTTGGCCTCTCGAGGGCTTCCTCGGAGCTCTTGGGGGACTTTGGGGGGCCTCCTGGGGCGAATTCTGGGTGCCTTGGGAGGCCTCCAGAGCCAACTTGAAGAAAGGGAATTCCTTCACACTCCTTCAAAAGATTCCGCCCCCCCTCGATCCGTCTCCTTCTGTTCCAGGCTGTGGCGTTCCCCAGAATGCGTTTCCGTTTTCTCCACCCCTCGCTGTCCGATCTCCCCGGTCTCTCTCTCCTGCTCTTGGTTATCCTGCGTCTCCCGTTCCGCATCCTTGTCTATCCTCTCCTCCTCCCTCCTCCCCGCTGCGTCATTTTCCCTCCTCCCTCCTCCTCGTCTCTCCTTCGCGCCTTCCACTCTCCGCCTCCCTCATGCCTTTTTTAGGCTTCCCAACGCTCCACGACGGCCCAAGAGGCCCCTAAGACAGCAACGATACATCCCCAAAGATCCCCGCGACGGCCCGAGCACGACCCAAGAGAGCGCCAAGATGGCCCAAGAGGCCGCCAAGGCGGCCCAAGAGGCCCTCAAGACGGGCCCAAGGCAGGGGCAAGAGCGGGGATCCAAACCGACACTTCGAGCCCAGACGCCCAGAGCCCCGGGGAGGCCCCCAATGCGCCCACCCAAAATCCCAAGAGGCCACCCCAACAAAAACCGGAGAGGCCCCACCCCTCAGAACCCCCCAAGAGCCCTCCAAGAGCGTCCCCCAAAGGCGTCTAAAGAGACTCCCAGCATGGTTTTGCCAGGCTCTTAGGGGCTCGCGGGCATCCCCCCTTAGACTGCCCTGGGTTCTCCTCGTGGCAGCCTTGCGCGATTTTCTGGAGCTTTATTCAGCAAGTTCTGAAGCGTCCATCAGGAGGCACGCTCCCATATGGTGATCCTTGTGGGATGATGTCCTTCCTCACCCGATCTTGTGAGGCTGGCTTGGACTGCGCCAGAACCTGAGCACGCGCGAAGCCCGCGCGGTTCTAGAATTTTCCTATCGTACTGTCTGACTCCAGGGGTGGGCCCCAATCGCCCCGGAAGGATTCGGACGGCTACGGCGACCCCACGCTGGCGCTCTTCGGGCCTCCTGGACCCCCGGAAGAGGCCTGACGACGGCCCGCGTCGGTGCACGAGGGCCCGAGATGCCTCCAAGACGGCCCAAGATGGACTCCACACGGCCCAATCTAGCTGCAAAAGGGCCGTTTCGGATGCTCCACGGTGCTGCACATTGGCACCCAAAAGGCCCGATGGGGGTCCACATTCATTTCCCGTGAGGCCCGCAGCCATAGATTTTCCATTCGTTTTTGGGTGCTTTTCGCATGCTGGCCATCTTTGGGCTCTCCACAATCCCATACGCTCGCAAAGGCTCCAACTACAGTCGGGGTGCTGAAGAATGAGCCCTTTTCGTTGGGGAGGGGCTCGGTGTTCCTTGAACGTTTTGCAGTTTGCCATGGGTTTACCTGATTTCCCATGGGAAATCGAAGTTTAACTGATGGGAAAAAGGGGCCCCGTTCCTTGTATAGAGTTCCTTAGGTCAACGCCCCGACTGTAGGCCCCAAAACGGCTCCCGAGCAGCTCTCACATATAATTTTGACGGGTCCATGGGGCCCCTCGTGGGCGCCTGTCGGGCCTCCTGGACTTCTTCCCCAAGGGGCCCAGGAGACGGCCAAGGTCGGTGCACGAGGGCCCAAGATAGACCCAAGACGGCCCAATACAGACCCAACACGGCCCAACAGGGCCGCAACACTGCCCAAAAGCGTTTCAGATGCTCTAAGTCCCCCGAGAATGACACCCAAGAGACCCGAGGGGGCCCAAATTTATTTCCCAAGAGGCCCGAATTCATAGATCCGTCATTTGTTTTTAGTTGTTTCTCGCATATGGCCATCTCGGGCTCGCCGCAATCTCAGACGTCCCCAGAGGCTCAAACAGGCCCCCGACAACACTCAAATTCAAGTTCAACGGCTTTGGCGACCCCTCGTGGACGTTCTTCGGGCTTCCTGGATCTCCCGAAGAGGATCGGGAGACGGCCAACATGGATTCAACACTGCTTCCAAGACGCCTCAATGACAGCCAAGTTGCTCCAGAACGACGTCCGAGAGGCCCTGGGGGGCCCACCCGCATTTCCCAAACAGCTAAACAGGCCCCAACAACGGCCCCACCGCACGAAGACGGCCCAGCATAGCCTCCAACACGGCCCGCCCCCCAGAACGTCCTCCCTCAGACAACCCCGGGACACCCCGAACGCTCCACCGACTGCACCTTCCGCCCCTCCACTCTTCTTCCAAATGTCGATGAAGCACTCTTCACTGACCTGCTTCTGCATGCGCACCTTGCACACAGCATCCCTCCAGACACCTTCGGAGCCAATCACGGCGCTCTCAAGCGGCTAGGGCGAAAACGTCTAACAAAACTACGGGGAGACATTTGGGACAGCTTCCGGAGTAATTCCTCCTGCCCGACGTTGTGGATACCGACCCCGCCGCACCCTCGTGCTCGCGCCCACTAGCGCGCGCGCGCCCGTCGTCCGCCTGCCGTTGTGTTTTGCGGTTGCCCTCTACTTTCCTGTTGGGTCCAGCCCAGGGGCCGCCTTTCGGTCCACGCATCGTCCCCATCATGCACTACACCAAGACTTCAAAGCGAAGCGCGGCGAGCTTCAATTCTTGTGTATCCATATTGATGTATACACACATATATACATATGTATTTGTATACCGACGAACCCCTCTATCGATCGACGGGCGTCCGAACATATCAGCATACGTAGGAATATCAATCAAACAATATTTACAAGGCGGTGCAAACAAATATCGTTATCTTTTGCATGCAGTTCCAAAGTGACGCTTACGTGTTCATCTATCGTCCCATAAATTTATCTATAGACTCACAACATAAACATCTATACGCCCAGAAATCTCTCTATCGACATAAATCCATCTAGCCGTTCACACCTAGAGATATCAATACATACATCCGTCTTTTGACCCACCCATCAATTACACCCAGCTGTCGGCCAATCCAGTACTTTCTGCTAGCGTCTTTGTTTCCAGATATCTATACATCACATGCATCTCTGTGATGATCATTCCACATGTACATACATACATCCATCTGCGCATCTATCTTCAACCGAATAAATGAGTTCATCGATGCTTCGAATCAACACATACATATTTCCAGCCACCCATGATTTCTATTTTCAGATTTGCATGTAGCAGCCAGTAACCAATCTGCATATACACAAGGGTCTCGTTTGATTCATACTTCGGTCGATTTCTCGACCCGTCAGCTCATCTATCCATCCATTCGTACACGTCCTATAGGTCGACCTATGATTCAATTTGCAGCCAGTTCCATGTGGTCCAGTGTGCACATTCACCGGAGAAGGAATACGATTGAATCGCCACGCAATAGGATTTCATTCACAGTAAGAATCAATGTGCAAAATTGCCGGCGCAAGAGATCCCATTGTAAACTTGCAAAACAGATGTCATTTGCAACGCGAGCAGGAACAATCAGTTTGCGAACCGCCCGCATCATAATCTAAAACGCAAAGCCATGCAACAGGATTCGATGCCATCCGCGCATTATAGATCGCTTTGTGAATCGCCAACAGGAGAAATTATGATACATATCCGTAAAAGACCATGTACAAGCCGCGCAGTGACGCTCAAATTGTATGTCGCCCGCGAAAGGAATCTATGTGTAAGGCCGCAAACGCAGAATCCATGTGATATCCGCTCCATATACATCAAGTATGATTTCGCCCACAAAGCTACTTCAATTATAAAGTCAAGCAGAAGAAATTTGTTTGACATTTATACTGTAAAGATTAATGTGTAAACTCCTCAGGAACAAAAAGCGTATTCCAGAGCCATGCAACAATCATGCCATGTGTTATCCGCGCAATGAGAGCCAATGTAAATCGCTTACAGAAGAAACCCTGCTGTAAAGCCACACAGAAAACTTATGTTTGTAACCCTCGCGACACAATGAACTCATTAAGCACCCACAAGAGGATTTCCTTTGACAGGGGACCGGGCAACTTTTGGGAGGAGGCCGCAATGATTAAATCCCTGCATGTTTTTTGGTGCGGGAGGGGGCGCTTCTGCCGAAAAGATGAAACAAAACACGGTGGGGAATGCATGTTGTTATGTTGGCCTCCTCCCACATTTGTCCCGTTTCCCTTTCAACGGACATTCTTGTAGTGTGAACTATCAGTGGGATATGTTCGGATTCTTTTGCAGGGGATCTACACATTGATGTTTCACGGTGTGGGTTGCAAGTACAACCCTCTTCGATTAGTTTTGCATTCGGATTCTTGGTGTAAGATCTTTGCATATTATTGTATTGTTCGTATCTGAATGGTATTGCACTTTTGTATCACATCCGTGAACACGCTATGCTAAAACAACACGGGGACGTCGAGAAAGGCAGTCGCCAAACGGAAGGCGCCGCAGAAGGGTCCAGAAGGCGCCGCAGGAGGCTCCAAAAGGCTGCGCGCAGGCTTCCCCAGAGACCCGAGCAGGTATTCAAAGGTTTCAAATCAACAGCTCAGGCACGGTGACCTCCCTACTCCTTTCTCCCTCCTCCTCCTCCTCGCCTGCTCGTGCGGACTTGCATTCCCTAACAAGCTGGTGGCAAGGCCCCAGCCCCGATTCAAGGTGGCCCCAGTGGAAGTTTTGGTGCAAAGTAGACTGGGCGCAGCTCGTGAATGCGCAGGAGAACCATCCAGAAGACGAGCTCATGAAAGAGTGGGTGGACAAAATGAAGGGCGACTTTGTCAAGGACAGCGAGAAGTGACCAGACATCGGGTGCAAGTCTATGTTCCACTCGTTCAAGAGGGGGCCTTCAATGGTCGTGGAGCTCAAGGTGGGAGAGAAATGGTAAGCGTTCGTAGCGGAACGGCTGCCGCAGAAGCTAGACGACGCCATCAAGGAGAACCATTACAAGTTCTACAACGCCGCCCAGAAGATGGGCCCAGAGGAGCTCCTCGAGCTGATCCCAATGGCCTTCCCGATGACGCACAAGGTCGGCGGGCGCGATCTCATCGCAAGGTATCCAGTGGACGTGTGGAAAAGAGCCGGGAGGAAGGCCCTCCTTGTGCAGGGCTGGTGTGAGTTGGCGCTGAAGATATCGAAGAATGACAAGGAGAACCACTACAGCGTCATGGAGGTCGCCTTGAAGGAGTTGAGTAACGAGTGCAATCTCGACCCAGAGGAGGTGAACATGTCCAAAAGTCGTCAGGAATTAAGAGACAGATCGCAGACCCTGCTGGATGGCACCGAGATGTTCGAAAAGTACGCCAAGTCGGAGGAGGCGGCCAGCTCCAGCGGTCGCAAGTGCGAGAGCCCACTTGGGCCCACTGACAACGCCAAGAGGTGCATTCGCGAGGTTATTTCGGAGTGCGACTCTAGGCAGGCAGGACGGGCAGACTCAGTGGGACAACCGCTAGCGGGGCCATCTCGGCGCGAGGGTCCTTGGGAAAGAGCTCGCGCAGACAACGTCTTGGGAAATGATTGTTTGGGGCGCGGACAGGAACATTACTGCAGGGAGTGAGGGATGGAACAATGTGATAGCCACGAAGGCCACCAGAGCGCATCCTCGAGGGCCCCACCTCCAACATATCGTGACTACCAGCATGCTCTTGCCTACCTACAGTTCGAGGGGGAACAGTGGGGCGCTGCAGCAAGTTACCAGGGCGCAGCTACGACAATGCATGGGGCAACTATCGACCAGTTCGCTCTGGAAGAGAAGTGAGCCGATATATATATATATATATATATATATATATATATATAAATATATCCTTTGCGTGCATGTCTTTCCCCATCGGTCTAGAGGTCAGGCCGTCGATGCTAATCGCTTCCGTGGGTTTTTGGGCTCGAGGAATTCGCATCCAGGCAGTGCGAATGGATTTCCTCTGGCCCGCAGCCCAATGCGCGTGGCAGGGGGCTCTTGCATATCTCTGGGGCGGCAATCTGCAGCGCTGCCCCTCGATCGCGATCCCGGCGTGCCCGGGGTTCCCTGGCTGCGCGGCCTGCCCGCCGTGCCCAGGCTGCCCGGCGCGCCCGGGAGGGCGGCCGGCGCCCGCCAACCCGGCGCCGCCGGCGGAGCAGGAGGCCGGGGCCGACACCGCGGGGTCCTCCTTCTGGCTGGTGGTGCTGGTGAACGAGCTGCTGTTCCTGGGCCTCATCGCCTGGTACGTGTACAGCTCGTGGGGTGGCGTGTGGCTAGCCTGCAAGCGTCGTCATGATGGCGGCGGCGATCGTGGCCCCAGCAGTGGCAGCAGCGCCGGGGATGCAGCAGTGGGCGTGGGTTCGCTACGACGGCGAGCCATTATGGCACCAGCGGCTGATCTTGGGACGTCGGGCGAGAGTGCCAGCTGAGGTCGTGTCGCCGCTCATCGCGCTGATCTGCACCGTGGACACGGACATCTACGAGGAGGACTACACGTGCGACTCGAGCGACATCATTGCCGTGCGCTACGCTGGCACGCGTGCGACCTTCCCGCCCGGGATCCGAGGTGCGAACTCACACCGCTTCAGGCGGGACTTGACGATGCAGGAGCAGCAGCAGATCGACCAGGCCGCCGTGGACTACTGCAGGGCGGCGCTGGCGGCCGATCATCATCGCCTTGGACTGGGGGCGCCGGCGGGGCCCTTCCTCATCCCACTGACCTTCGGTCAGGCCGGCCCGGCTGCCCCGGCGGAGGCAGGTGAGGTGGCGGCGGCGGTGGCCCCAGGGGCGCAGGCTGCTGCTCTGGTTCCCGCTGGTGGGTTACCTGGTGGTGCCGTCGGAGGAGCTGCAGGAGCCGGAGCATGTGCTGCTGGCGGAGCTACCGCTCCTGTGGCGGCGGGCGTAGCCGCGGCCGCCATGTGGGTGCTGGTCGAGTCGACGACTGCTGGCGCGCGCGGGACTGCCGTGGCCCCGCCCGCCGGGTCGGTGCTGCGAGGGTCCGTGGGCCTCATGCCGCTGGCCGACGGCTCATGGGTGACGATCCGCTCGATCTCGGGATCGGCCCAGGAGTACGCTGGGCGAGAGGCCGCGTCGGATGCTCGTCTGATGGGGATCCTGCCGAACCCTGCCGTTCCAGGCGGGAGGCTGCTGCGGCAGTGGCGCGACGCCGTCGCCAGCTTCACCGAGGAGGCGTTCGTGGACTGGCACATCCCCGGTCCGCGGACGTGCCTGTGGAGCTGCAAGTTCATCGACCGTCGTCAGGGAGGGCCGCTGGATCACTTCAGGTTCTGGAAGGCGACCCTCGGGCTGGCGGCCGACGACTACGGCGTGAACGACTATGAGGCCGGGATGCGCGCGATCTACACGATGGCGTGCTGGGGCGGCCTGGACCTGCCAAACATCGCGGGCGCCGAGCAGATCCTTCGGAAGTGTCAGATGCACGAGTACGTCTACGTGATGGACCGGGGCCCCCACCACGGAGGCCACGGCGCCGGGGACGGCGGCGAGGCCGGGGAGAACAAGAAGACTGGCAAGAAGGGCCGTGGTCGGGGGGGCGGCAATCACCGCTTGCTGAGTTTCGGGTTCATCGACGAGAGCGCTGTCTTCACCGGTCTCAGCCGAGACCACGGGGAGAGCATGATCTGCCCCCTGCTCCTGGAGCTGGCGAAGGAGGTGGAGAGGGACGCTTCGGTGTTGAAGCAAGTACGCAAGGCCCGCGAAGAGCAGCGGGCCTTGCGAAAATGACGGGCGTACTACCACGCGGGCCGCTTCCCCCCGGCGGTCCGCGCGTTTCTGGAGGGGGGCCCAGCGGTGGTGGCCCGCCATTCGCTGGTGATGAGCACTTCAAGGGCATGCCTTGTGGGCGCCAGCGTGATCTATTTCCACTGCCACGTCCTGATCAACAGCGTCAGGTCCGTTCAGAGGCGAACAGCTTCGCTTGCACACGTTCTGTGGCCCGTCGTGGTCTTCGTCGGGGTCATGCTGATGCTATGGTGAGCGAGGTGGTGAATGCCCTCAACGAGCTGTACGTCGGCCAGCCCTGTCGCCACGGCGACCACTCGCAGCCTGTCTCTGCGGGTCAGCAGCGGGCCTTGGACAACGTTCGTGATGCTGTCCGACGGTTCGGTAAGCCCCCGGAGGGATTGACTGGCTCAGGAGCCCTTGAGGAGCTTCGAGTTCTCAGCGACTACGCCGGCGAGAGTGCCGCGGTCGCTCCGTTCAGCTTTGATAACATCAACAGCCTCTCGCTCCCGGACGAGGGTTTCACGCCGGTGGCGCTGGACACGCTGGGAGGAGGAGCTGGCCGCAAGATAGTTGAACGGCTTCATGATATGATGCTGTCCCAGTCCGAGGGTCGGGCTCGGATCGAGTCCGACGGTCCTCGGAAGCTCTACATCGACCCGGCGCTCAGGAACCCCAAGCTGTACATCCAGCTGCTGCGGATCCTCGAGCGCCGGAACCTCATCGACTACTACGCTGACAAGGCGTGCAGCGTGGGTGTGTTCTTCGTTTATAAGAAGTCGGGGAAGCTGCGGCTCATCCTGGACGGCAGGCATGCGTCCCTGCACTTCCGGGCCCCCGACAAGGTGGCCCTCGCGTCCGGCGCGAGCTTCGCTGGCCTTCACGTAGACAGCGGGAAGCCCATCGCCGTGGCCGAGGTGGACCTGGCCGACGCCTTCTACACGATGCTGCTGCCGCCGGAGTTCCGACGGTACTTTGCGCTGCCGAGCTGCCGCGCAGGCCTGCTGGGGCTTGACTGCACCTCGGACGGGCGCCCTCTCAGCGGGACGGACCTGGTCTACCCGTGCTTCCGGTGCCCGCCGATGGGCTGCTCCTTCAGCCTCTGGATCTGCCAGACGATGTTGGAGGCGACCGCGCTGCAGGTGCCCCAGCTGACCGTGGCCAACCGCTTCGTGGACAGGCGTCCTGTGCCGGGCGTCACCAGCGACGTGATCCACACCGAGTACGTGGACAACGCGCTGAGCCTCTCGACCGACCCGTCGGTGGCGTCCGCTGCTGCCGCTGCGGTCGACTCTCGGCTCCGAGCGGCTGGCCTACCAACCCACGGGGTCGAGTGCAGTTTCGGCGCTGCCGCGCTGGGCTGGCAGTTTGACGAGAAGTTCCCGATCATCGGGCTGAACCCGGCGCTGCGGTGGAAGCTACGGCTGGCCTGCCTGGAGCTGTGCCGGAAGGGCTTTGCTTCGGGCAAGACGGTCTCGCGCGTGGTCTCACACTTTACATCGAGGGCGCTGATCCGGCGCGAGCTTCTGTCCTGTCTCAACTCGCTGTACGCTTTTTCTGCCCAGTATGGGGGCCGAACTGCTCGGCTCTGGCCCTCTTGCCTGCGCGAGCTCCGCTGGTGCGCCAGTCTGGTCGTGTTCTGCTTCCGAGACGCGGGTGCCGCGTTTGACAGCAGGCTCACGATGGTCGACGCATCGTGGTGGGGCGTGGGGGTCACTCAGAAAACATCGTCGTCAGCTGTTGCGCTGGAGTTATCACGGTACAACGAGAGGTGGAGATTCAGCAAGACTCAGGAGGGTGGCGTCTCACATCGGTCCCTCGCCCTAAAGGCTCAGAGCTCTGGAGACCCCTTCGTGCCCGAGTCGGTCGCAACCTTCGAGAACCCAGGGGGCTTCCAGGAGGTGATCACGGACTTGGAGGAGGATGAGGAGTTCGTCGTGTCAGGCTCCGCGTTCGAGGTGGAGGAGGTGACCCAGGTGGAGAATGAGGAGTTCCCGGAGATCCCAGAGGGCGTCTGGGCGGAGGGGTGGTACCCGGTCGTGTCGCACAGATGGTGTCGTTCGGAACCTCAAGTCGTACTCGAAGGTCGTGGGATGGTGGTGGCTGTTCGGCATATCCTTCGGCGTCTCTCGTCCTTCAACCGGTGCCATCTGTGCTTGGGCGATTGTTTGGGAACGATCCTGGCTGCCACCAAGGGGCGGTCCTCGCGCCCAGAGATGGGGCGCATCTGCCGGCAGCTGGCGGCCCTTTCGCTAGCTAGCGGCACTGCCTTCTTTTGGCGCTGGGTACCTTCCGAGCGGAACTCCGCGGACCGCGCCTCCGGGAACTTGCCAGGCGTGGGCTATGCTTCGACGACATCAGATACCTGCTGCCCCAGCGCCTGTGGTGGTAGCCACGGCGCCCGCTCCGACGTCGGGCGGCCTCCTGGCGCGAGGCAGCCTGCCTTCGGGCCCCCGCCCGGCCTCGAGCAAGGGGCGAGCTGGGACCCCGACGGGGCGGACCACTTCCTCGGCAGCGGCTTCGACATTGGGGCTGGACCTATCGGCGGAGCCACTGGAGCGGACCGCCCGAGCGAAGCGTCGGCGGGCCAGGCATCCAGAGGGCGCCCACTGGCGGGGGCCCGGACAGCGGTCGTTCCTGGAGCAGAAGGCGGTGGGCAACAGGACGACGCTGGACTACCAGGCCCGATACCACCGTTTCCTGACCTGGGCCGCGGCTGCGAGGGCCTAGTGTCCACCATCCCCGAGCTGGAGGAGACGCTCCTGGAATACTTCAACGAGTTGTACTTCGAGGGCCACGACTCGCCGGACGGGTCGAAGCTGGCGGCCGCCGTGACCCACTTCCGGTTGGACCTGCTGCCGAAGCTGATCAACATGCCGCGCGTGCAGCGGGCGCTGAAGGGCTGGAAGTCCATGGCGCCCCCCCGGGCTCGCCTTCCCCTGCCCTGGCCGGTGGTGGCGTGGATGGCGGACTGGATGGTGACGAACGGGTGGGAGGTGGCGGCGACGGCGTCCGTGCTGGCCTTCATCCTCTACCTGCGCCCCTCCGAGCTGCTGTCCCTGCGCGTGATCTCGGTCGTGCGGCCGGTGAAGTGTGGGCCCCGGCACCTGAGCAAGTACTCCATCCTCCTGTTCCCGGCCGAGCTCGAGGCGAGGTCGAAGACAAAGGATTACGACATCAGCCTGCTGCTGGACAACCCAGAGTTCGGGTGGATGGATCAGGTGCTGGACCGACTGGTGCTGGGCCGACACCCAGAGCAGCCGCTGTTCGCGCTGAGCATGAAGTCATGGACCCGAGCGTTCAGCCTCGCGTCCGCCGCCCTGGACCTGGAGACCCTGGGCCCCCCGGTGCTGTACCAACTGCGCCATGGCGGTGCCAGCCACGAGATGCTAACCAACGCTCGGGAGTTCGGGGACATCAAGAAAAGGGGGCGGTGGGAGTCCGACCGGAGTCTCAAACGCTATGCAAAGGGAGGCCGAGTCCAAGAGCAGCTCCAGCGTCTACGACCAGTGCAGCAAGCTCAGGCCCTCGGCTGCGCCGTGACTATTGGCAGCACCCTATGCAGAATTTGAGCTCGTGGGCCCACACCGCCAAGTCGAAGGTGTACCTGGAGATCTTCAGTGGCTCCGGGAGCTGGTCGCGTGCCATGCGACACGGCCAGGCCTCTCGGCTGGCCCCGCGTGTCTTCGAGCTGGACATGGAGCACGAGCCCGCCCTGGGCGACCTCTCCAGGCGCAGCGTGCAACGTGTTGTTCGAGGTTGGCTTCGTGGGCAGTTGCTCCAGGGTGTCTGGCTGGGTATGCCCTGCAGTTCCTGGTCCATGGCGCGGAATAGGCCCAACGGCCCTCCCGCCTTGCGTGATGGGAAACATCTGCTGGGACTCCCTGGTCTCTCGTCAAGCGACTCGCTCAAGGTGATGCTGGGGAACAGGCTCGCGTGCTTCTCCTTCAGCTTCTTTCTGGAGTGCGCCCTGCGTGGAGTCCCAGCGGCAATCGAGAACCCGGCCACCTCGTGGGTGTGGCAGACCAAGTGGGCGGTACATGCCGCCAAGCAGACCAACGTGAAGGTGATCGACTTTGACTTCTGTGCTTTCGGCACGCAATGGAGAAAACGAACCAGAGTCATGTATGTGCACGTGAACCTAGACGCCCTGAGTAGCTGTAAGTGCAGTGGCCGTGGCTGTTGCTCTTTCTCGCAGGCGCCGCACAAAGCCCTTGAGGGCAAGGCGCCGTCGGGCGCCTTCTGGACAAAGATTGCTGAACCATACCCTCCCAGATTGTCCAGTTTGCTTGCAAAAGCGTACCGTGAGTCTAGGCTCTGTTCCGTGCACCGTGCCTTGATGCGAATGACGGCCTGACGGCCAGGAGGATCTTTTGAAGTTAGATGCTTTGAGGTCGCTGGATTGTCTCTCTGGCGAGGCGTCCCTTTCGGACGCGTCGAGCAGCTGCGTCTTGGCTGGAGAGTGATCTGCGAACAGACAACGTCGAGAGGCTGGCCTGACAATGAAGATCGGGTGGGGATATCCTTTGCGTGCATGTCTTTCCCCATCGGTCTAGAGGTCAGGCCGTCGATGCTAATCGCTTCCGTGGGTTTTTGGGCTCAACCCAGCCCGCCCACCCTTGAGCCTGTGTATAGATGCTTCCTGTTAGTCGCTTGAGAGGTCGCTGGATTGTCTCTCTGGCGAGGCGTCCCTTTCGGACGCGTCGAGCAGCTGCGTCTTGGCTGGAGAGTGATCTGCGAACAGACAACGTCGAGAGGCTGGCCTGACAAGAAGATCGGGTGGGGATATATATATATATATATATATATATAATATATATATGTGTGTGTATGTATGTATGTATGTCTATATATATATATATATATATATATATATCCCTGGAGGCGAGGCCGGGGGCCCCAGGACAGGCGCCTCCACCCCCCATGGCGGGACGGGGGGGGGGGGCTGGAGCTTCCCTGGAGCAGCCCAGGCGGCCCAAGAGAGCCCCAAGAGCGCTCCGCGGCAGGCCCAGCAGGCTCCAAGAGGCCCAGGAGGGCGCCGAGACGGCCCCAAGATGCCCAAGATAAACCCAAGACGGCCAAAGAGGCCCCCAAGACGCTCCAAGAGGCCTCCAAGAGGCCCCCCCAGAGGGCCCCAAGAGGCCAAATTCGTTCATTTTACGATGGTTTTGGACACATTTGTCTTTCCCGCCTTTTCAGCTTACCGACGCTCCACGACGGCTCAAAGGCACCCCGCGGACGCCCCAAGACGGCCCAAGAGGCTTCCAAGAGGGCCTCAAGACGGCTCTGCAGGGCCCCAAGGCGGCCCAAGACGCGCCCCAGACGGGCGAAGAGAGGCCCAAGACGGCCCCAAGAGGGCCCCAAAAGGGCAATCGCGAACCGGAAATTCGAGCCCCCCGCCTCCACAGGGCCCCGGGAGGCCCCAAAGGGGCCCCAAGAGGCCCCAGGAGACCCCCAAGAGGCACCCAGGAGGCCCAAACGAGGCTTCAAGAGGCTCCCAAACAGCCCCGAGGAACCTCACAACGCACGGTGCGGACGAGCCGCACTTCGGACCGCCGCCGCCGCCGGTCCAAGAAAACGGCCTCCTCGACGCCATGCGCGCCGTGGCCCTCCTGCGGTGGCACCTCCCGCTCCGGGCCAGCGCAGAGGCCCTAGGATCCCAGAGAGAATTCTTCGTCGTCGGCGGCGTCGCCGTCGTCGGCGTCGTCGTCGTCGACGCCGTCCCCGCCCCGGTCGCCCTTCGGGACCGCGCTCGACCCTTCGACTTCTCGGCTCGCCTCCCGCCGATGTTCTTGTCGCCCTTCGACTTTCGGACGCTCCTCCCGGGGTCCTGGGTCCAGTGCTCCGGCCTCCCTCCCCTGATGGTCGTGCTGCGTTGGTGGGTGGTCCTGCTGCTGGTCGTCCTGGTGGTCGTCCCAGTGGTTCTGCTGGTGGTCGTGCTGGTGGGTGGTTGCGCTGGTGCTCGTGCTCGTGGTTCTGCTGGTGGTCGCGCTGGCGGTCGTGCTGGTGGTCCTGCGGGTGGTCGTGCTGGCGGTCGTGCTGGTGGATGGTCGTGCTGGTGGTCGCGCTGGTGGTCGTGCTTGTGGTCTTGCTGGTGGTCGTGCTGGCGGTCGTGTGGTGGATGGTCACGCTGGTGGTCGCGCTGGCAGTCGGGATGGTGGTCGTGCTGGCGGGTGGTCGTGCTAGCGGGTGGTCGTGCAGGTGGCCGTGCTGGTGGGCATGCTCGTGGGTGGTCGTGCTGGTGGTCGTGATGGTGATCCCGCTGGTGGGTGAACGTGCGGGCGGTGGTGCTGCTGGTCGGGTTGTTTGTCGTGCAGGTCGTCGTGCCGGTGGTCGTGCTGGTGGTCATGCTTGTGGCCGTGCCGGCGGTCGTGCTGGACGTGCTGGCGGTCGTCCTGCTGGGTGGTCGTGCCGGTGGTCGTGTTGGTGGGTGGTGGTGCTGGTAGTCGTATTGGTCGGTGGTCGTGCTGGTGGTCGCGCTGGTGGTCGCGCTTCTGGGTGGTCGTCCTGGTGGTCGTGCTGGTGGTCGTGCTAGAAGTCCTCCTGATGGTGCTGATCGTGGTCGTGCTGGTGGGTGGTTGTGCTGGTGGTCGTGCTGGTGGTCTTGCTGCTGGCTTTGCTGGTGGCCGTGCTGGGCGTCGTCCCTGCTCGGTGGTCGTGCTGGTGGTCCTCTGGGTGATTCTGCTGGCGGTCGTGCTGCTGATTGTGCTGGTGGGTGGACGTGATGGTGGTCGACTACCCCGAGGAACGACCGCCAGTACGACCACCAGCACGACCCCCCCCCGGAGCAGCACGACCACCACCAGCACGACCACCAGCACGAAGACCCAGAAGCACGACGATCCACATGACCACCAGCACGACCCCCCAGCAGCACGACCACCATCAGCACGACCACCATCACGACCACCACCGTGACCGCCAGCACGACCACCACCAAGACCCCCCCGTTTCCCTCTCCCGGCAGCGAGAGAGCCCCAAGAGGGCATATAATTTAACAGAAATTTAACAGAAAACACGTCGTTGTTGGAGAGCGCGTTCTGTCAAATTTCTGTTAAATTCCGGGCCCTATTGGAGCCCTCTCGGGGCCCTCCTGGAGTCCTTCTGGGGCGCTGCGGGAGCTGTTTCAGGGCTATCAGAGGCGCCCGAGTGAGCCCAGAATTTAACAGAAATTTAACAGAAACCACTTCGTTGTTGGAGAGTGCGTTCTGTTAAATTTCTGTTCAATTTCTGGCCCTCTTGGAGCCCTCTTGGAGCGCTCTTGGGGCCCTCCTGGGGCCTTGCGGGAGCCGTCTCAGGGCCCTGAGAGGCCCCCAAGAGGGCATATAATTCAACAGAATTTTAACAGAAACCACGTCGTTGTTGGAGAGCGCGTTCTGTTAAATTTCTGTGAAATTTCGGACCCTCTTGGAGCCCTCTTGGAGCGCTCTTGGTTCTCTCCTGGGGCCCTTGTGGGGCCCTGCGGGAGCCGTCTCACATCCCTGAGAGGTTACCAAGAGGGCCTAGAATTTAACAGAACTTTAACAGAAACCATGTCATTGTTGGAGACCCCGTTCTGTCAAATTTCTGTCAAATCTTGGGCCCTCTTGGAGCGCTCTTGGAGCTCGGATAACTGGTACGTTTGGACCCCGGGAGGGTGGACAGCAGGTTCCGGCGATACCCTTCCAGAGCACGCTGGAGGAGGAGGAAGATCAGGAGGAGGGTGAGCTGGAGTGGGAGGAGGAGGACGAGGAGGAGGAGGTGGATGAGGTGGTGAACGACGAGGACGAGCACGACGACGCTGGTGACGACGATGATGCACGAACATGACGATGACGACGACGAAGACGGTGACGACGTCAACGATTATCGCGATTGCTTTGATGTTGATGATGGTGATGCTGTTGAGGGTGATGGCGATGATGTCGATGATGATGATGATGATGATGATGATGATGATGATGATGATGATGATGATGATGATGATGATGATGATGATGATGATGATGATGATGATGATGATGATGATGATGTGATGATGATGACGACGAAGACGGTAAAGACTTCAACAATTATTGCGACTGTTTTGATGTTGATAATGGTGATGATGTAGAGGGTGATGGCGATGGTGATTGCGATGATGCGGGAGAAGGATAACGGGGAGGTGGAGGCGAAGAGGAGCGAGCAAGGCCAGGATACCCGTGCTCTTGATGTTTATGATGCTCCGACCGATCCGCCTGCCCCTCTTCTGTGCGAGCTCGCATTCACAATCGGGGAAGTGCGCGCTAGAACCTAAGCGCGCGCGAAGCGCGCGCGTGGTTCTAGTATATATATATATAGAGAGAGAGAGAGAGAGAGAGAGAGAAAGAGAGAGAGAGAGAGAGAAAGAGAGAGAGAGAGAGAGAAAGACAGATAGAGAGAGAGAGAGAGTGAGAGGATATAATAGGATAACATTAAACCAGTAGGATAATTAGGCCTCCCAGCAGAAGTTTGGAAAACATGGGTCTCCTGATCCTCCCCCCCTTCTCCTTTTGAGTGGTCGTGTGGTCGTTTTTCCCCTCTAGCTTGGGAGCCCTACTCGCCCGGCGCGTCCCCATTCCAAGGGCGCGCGGAAAGGGCCAGCAGTTGCTCCCCCCGCACTGACCCGCAGGGACTCGTAGACACAAGGTAGCGAGCCTTTCTGACGGGGCCACTTCGGAGCTCACCCCTTGGAGTTTCGGGGTATGCCCCCTGCCGGCCCTAGTGAGAAGTCAGGGCCGTTGCAATCTAAATCGCAGGGGGTTTTGCCAGACGCGCGCAAGGCACCAGTCTAGGTGTGTTGACGTTGGCCCCCTTATGCGGATGTCCTGTCCTGTCCTGTCCTCCTTCTCCTCCTCTTCCTCCTCCTCCTCCTCCTCCTCCTCCTCCTCTCCCTCCTCCTCCTCCTCCTCCTCCTCCTTTCCCTCCTCCTTTCCCTCCTCTTCCTCCTCCTCCTCCTCTTCTTCCTCCTCCTCCTCCTCTTCCTCCTCCTCCTCGGTGGCACGCTGACCCCTCGTCTTTGCCTTCGCATTTCGAGGCCACGGGCCATGGAAAGAGGGCCTTGTAGACCGCCCGCAGCCCCCTAAGAACCCCCCTTGCCGCGGGGACCCGGAAGGCCCCCAGGAGACCCAAGAGAGGCCCCGCGAGGTCCCCGAACGGCTTCCAAGGGGTTGCAAAATTGCCTCCAAGAGGTTGCCCATTGGTTTCCCAAGAAACCGACCCCGACAGGCATCCAAGAGGTCCCTGGCTAACATCCAGGGCGCGGTGGCAGGATAGGCCGAAGGCCACTCGGAGGCGCACGCGTGTACAAGGGACACTGTGGCCCTTCCTCTCGTTCCTCGTTTTTGCCCTTCGTCTTCAGAGGTTCCACTTCTCCTTCTGTTCTTGTCCCTCCTTGTCGTTCAGCTCTCGCCTTCGTAGCCGTTATGTTCTTGGACAGTTGTCCCGTTTCTCCTCGACCACCAAACCGCCCTCTCTCGTTCTCTTCGCCGTCCTCCTAGAGACCTCCGTGCTCAGGGGAAGGTTGTTTATAACGTTTTCCCGTAGCGCCTTTGGAGTACAGTCCAGACCGCAACCGTCGCCCAACCGTTGGCATCTCAGTGCGAGTTGGGCTTTCGAGAACCTGAACACGCGCGAGGCGCGCGATTGTTATAGTCTGTATCAATGTATGCCCGTCTGTCTGTCTGTCTGTCTGTCTGTCTGTCTGTCTGTCTGTCTGTCTGTCTGCCCGCTTGCCTGCATGCATGCATGCATGCAGCCTGCATGAATGCATGCATCCATGCATGTATGTATGCATGCATGTATGTGTGTATATGTATATGTATACGTATGTATGCATGTATGTATATATGTATGTATATGTGTGCATGTATGTATGTATGTATGTATGTATGTATGTATGTATGTATGTATGTATGTATGTATGTATGTATGTATGTATGTAGGTTCTGATTGACGGCGTCGAGTGTTGGGGGGCCACCCCCCGTTTCGAAACGTGCCGCCAAATGTTCCCAAGGCGAGCGTCCGTGAAACGCGCTCTCTCTCGTATGCATGTCTGTCTGTCTATCTGCCTGTCTGTCTGTCCGTATGTATGTCTGTACGTATGTATGTTTGTACGTATGTATGCATGCATGCATGCATGTATGTACTCCAGATTTCGTAATAACGGGAGGGGGGTCTCATTTCGGGGGGGGGTCTCTTCTAGGCTATCTTGGAGGGCCTGGGGGGGTCTGGGGACGATGTTTTGGAGGGTTCTCCCACGGGGGGGGGTCTGAAATGGCTTGTCTTGGAGGGTCCAGACCCCCTCCCTTGTATTACGAAATCTGGAGTATGTATGCATGCACGCATGCAATGTATGTATGTCTGTCTGTCTGTAATGTAGTGTAATGTCACGTCATGTAATGTAACGTAATGTAATGTAATGTAATGTGATGTAAGGTATTGTAATGTAGTGTAATGCAATGTAATTTAACGCAGTGTAATACAATGTAATGCAATGTAACGTAATGTCATTCCATGTAATGTAGTGTAATGTTATGTAATGTAATGTAATGCAATGTGATGCAATGTAATGCAATGTAATGCAATGTAGTGTAATGTAATGTACTGTAATGTATTGTAGTGTAGTGTAGTGTAGTGTAATGTAATGTAATGTAATGGAATGTAATGTAATGTAATGTAATGTATGTTGTAATGTACTGTAATGTAATGTAACGTAATGTAATGTAATGCAATGCAATGTAATGTAATGTAATGTACTGTACTATACTGTACTGTGCTGTAATGTAATGTAATGTAATGTAGTGTACTGTACTGTACTGTACTGTACTGTACTATAATGTAATGCAGTGTAATGTAATGTAATGTAATGTAATGTAATGTAATGTAATGTAATGTAATGTAATGTAATGTAATGTAATGTAATGTAATGTAATGTAATGTAATGTAATGTAATGTAATGTACTGCATGTATGCATGCATGTATGTATGTATTTATGTTACGCATGTATGTTTGCATGTATGTATGTATGGCGAAGGCCGGCCTGCTCCCATTTCGCTCCAGCAGGGGTCCCGTCGTAGAGCGGGGGTTCACAGCGGGCTCCAGGGGGAGAGGGACGCAAATCTGGCAGTCATTGAGTAGTCGGGGATGTGGTTTCGACGCGCGCGGGCTTGGCGCCGGCTCAAGCCTTCGTGGGGCCCTCTTGGGCGTTCTTGGGACTCTCTTGCGGCCCCGAGGGCTGTCTTGGCGTACCTTGGGGAGCCCGAGGCCACTGTGGAGGGTCGGCGCCACTTGCAGCTCCTGCTTCTCGAAGGCTCCCTCGCTCTCCCCCTCTGCGGCAACAGGAGCGTTGACGCGGGTGCCCTGTCCTGTCCCTCCCTCCGAGGACATGACAGGACAGGGACAGGACAGGACAATGCCCCGTGGCGCGAGCAGGGAGGGCAAGGGAGGGAGTCCCTCCCCTCCGAATTTTGGCCCAAAGCTCAAGTCGCAAGGTGTCGCTTCATTCGTTATTCCAACTCTTAGCCAGTCGCACTAGTTGGTTATGGAGAGGGCACCCTTGGAGATCCGAGCGGTCGTGGAGGCCTATGTCTCAAGAGTCGCCCCCAGTGCGCCGGCCTTCGGTTTTTTGGCACTGGTGCCGTGGAGCTTTCAGGATCAGCCGGCCAATGTGCTCGCCCCCGAGGCAGGCCATGGAGGTATGAGCGTGGGCAGGGTCACCCGGATGTTGGAGCAGCACGAGGCCGTGGTGATCCCGTCCGTGTACAAGACGCCGGAGGAACAGGGGGAGTTGACGCGTCTGTTGGGCCATCTGAGGGCCGCGCATCCTGACGCGTTCGTTTTCTTGGTGCAGTTGCCAGATCGGTTCGATATCGAGCTGACCAGGGGGTACCTAGATACATTGATGGCACGCCAGGATGCGCTCTACAGCTTTGGGACGAGCGGCGTCCTCATGGAGCTGGAGGGTGACCCGGAGGGCTTACAGCAGAAGGTACGTCTGGAGCTTGTGGAGAACACCGCGATCCAGCGGCGCGTGCAACACTTCGAGAACACCTTGGGAGAAGAAATCCTCGAGAGCCAGACCATCCAGGACGAACATGACAGTCTTCTGTGGGATGACGTCCCGAAGTTGCTAATGCCCGGTTTTCCCGCTCTAGACAGGGGCTTGCTGGAACGGGCGGACCAGGTCGGGGAGTTCCGGCTGGTGCACCAGTATGTAAATCATCAGCACGTCTTGTTGGCGGTGAACGGGGCGCACGATTTTGTCGTTGTCAAGATGCGCAACAAGCGCAGTGTCACGGCTGCCGAGGAGGTGGAGAGCATCAACACGGAGTTCTGCCTCCTGAAACACGCCCTCCACCACCCACACATCATCCGCTGCGTAACCATGCTGCACAGCCAGTCCCATGTGCACCTGGTGCTCCAGTATGGTGGCGACGCCTGCATGGAACAGGTGCTGTCGACTCAACCACACTGCCGCTTGTCCAGGGACGACGCCCTGGACTGCACCACCCAGGTCGCAAGTGCTCTGTCCTATTGCCACGCCATTGATGTTACTCACAGGCAGGTGTCCCCGAGGCACGTGTCGGTAGAGATGGCGAGGAATCGGTTCGTTTGCCGCCTGGTGGACTTCAGCATGGCAGCCCGCGTTCCAGACTTCAGCACGCGGAAGACCCTGTGCGGCGCTCTCCCGTGCGTCGCTCCGGAGACAGTGCTGGAGGAGCCGTACTGGCCCAAGCCGGCAGACTGCTGGAGCCTAGGGGTGGTGCTCCTGGAGGCCGTCGGCGGGCAGGGCTCGCTCGAGCTGTCGTTGGGGTGGCGTCGCGGCGCATCCCTCGCGCAGGCCACGCGGGAGATGCTCGAGTTCTTCGCCCAAGCCGGCTCCCATGCCCAAGCGATGGCGAGCATGGGCGGCGTGCACGACGATGCGGCGTTGGCGTGCCTGGAGGCCCTGCTGAGGCCCGAGCCCCTCCGCAGGGCGAGCGCCTCCGACGCGGTGGAGATGCTGTCAGCCGGGCGAGTGTAGGCCGCTCGTTTCGGGTTGGACGAGCTGGGGGGGGCGGACCATACCTCAATCGGTCCTCCTCCGAAAAAGGGAGGAGGATCCAGGCGCGCGCAGGCCGCCCCTTTGCAGACGATGTGCCCACTCCCGACCCGGCGCGCGCGAGGGCCCCGGGGCGCTTGTGAGCGCCGGAGGCCCTGGCGCGCGTCGAGCACCTGGCCCCGGTGATCTTGTGGTGCGTTCGGCGCCACCCGCTCACTCTCCGTCCACTCCTTGATCATACTCGTTTCTCTTCCCCCTCCTCCATCATGCCTCCCCTCCTCGCCTCTAAATCGCTTTGGGTCCCACTTCCAGTTGTGTCGGATCTCACGTTTGGCTTGAGGAGCGCGGACGGCTTCCACTAGTCACAGCGTGGCGCCAGCGGGAAGCCAATTCGGGCCAGGCCCGTCGGCTTTCTCGCTTGGTCGCTCCAATTCGGTCTCGGTGGCCTGGTTCAGCTGTGCTTCGAGGTTTCTTCGGGCGAGACCCGCTCGTCCCTGAGTGGCTTCCTTCGAGCCCTCGGCGGCCGCCCGCATGCTGGTCAGTTCGGTACAGCAGCGCCCTCGTTGGTCCTGCTCGCTGGTGCGTGGAGGCACGGTCCGTTTGCCTCAACCGTGCCATCTGTGAAACTGCCGTGAAATCGGCCCCGAATGGCGTTTTCAACAGCCAGGGCATCTAACTATCGGCTCTTTGGAGTGGGGAGGTGGTTGTACATCAGTTCATGAGAGTGGAGGGGGAGGAGTTCACCTGATTTTTGACTTCACATAAGGCTTATGTCATAAGCAGCGGTGTACTGGTTCAAGCCTCGACCCAGCCTGTGCAAACTGCACCAGCCTTGCAATGCATACACTGCTTAGCTTCGTTGCTTCTATCGGTGCGACGAACGGTGAGGATTTGATGAAGGGGATGCGGAGGACCACGTGAGGTTGGAGGGGGAGTAGACGGCATTCATTGCGAGCGCTCGGTTGCTTCCTCTGCAACCCGTTGTGGACCGAGCACGCTGATGTTGTGGTGCATGTCCCCGCGCAGCGGCGCCTGAGACCAACAGCAGTAGTTGCAGCCTCGCTTCTCGGTCCGCGTCCATGTTCCCTGCCGTGGTTGTGAGCCCTCGAGGCGCGTGGCCACCGGGGCAGACCTTGAGAGACAGTGGTGCGTGGACCTTGAGAGACCTCGGCTATTTTGCGTGTGTGAGAGGCCGTATTTTTTTCTGCCATCGCTGGTGCTGCCCGAGTTATAGCAAGGGAAGGTTTATCTCATCGCTGCGACCGTGAACTGGTATTGCATCGCCCTCGGTGGGGGCACTGTCTCTGCGCGTGTTGAGCTGCTGCGCACTCGCCAGTTCAACGCACCGAGCGTGTCGACCGCTGCGAGCGCGTTGACTGCCACGGCCCTCGTCGAGGCAGCCAGGCTGAGGAGGGATCTCCACACCAGTCATTTTGGCGTGATGATGGTGAGGATGCGGAGGAGCCAGAGGTGATGCGTGGTGGGGTGGGGGAGTAGGCCAGGTAACAGCATCGGCTGCAATGTTCGCGTTGGTAGTGATTATGTGGATGTTATGGGGATCTCCTTGAGACTTCGCGTGGCCTCGGATACCACGCGACGTTTTATCTTCCTGCGTGAACTGCACGAGATCTTGGCAGTGATGGTAATATGTAGTTCGGGATGAATCGAGAAGGAGGAGGAGGAGGAGGAGGTGTTAGAGGTGGGAGGTGCGCTGCCAACATATTTGCACATAATCCCTCAGTGAGGGCTTTTTCAGCGGCCGCCGTACTGTCCCTCGGTAAGAGCCTTGACCTGGGAAGGGATCGGGGTGTACGTGGGGGGTGAGAAGGAGTGGGGCTTCACCGCCCGGCTGGCGCATACTCTGCGCCCCTGAGGGCCCACTTTCTTAGCCTGTTCTCATTGCCTGACCTTTTCTGCGGTGCCAGCCAGGCGTCATCTGTTTTTTGCTCCGCCCAGGTCGGCGAGCTGCTTCGCATCATCACGTACCGCAGCAGGCCCCGCCTCATACTTCCCCAACGCCAAGGAAGTCCCTCCCCTCCCCTCCCTGCTCGCGCCACGGAGCACTCCCCGCTGCCCCTCCCCCCAGCCCCCCGCAGGTGGAGAGCAACACGATCAAGATCATCGATCCCCCCGGGGGCCCGCGCCGCTCCGCCGGCCGTCGCCCCCCAGCGCGGCTCGAGGCTCGCCGAGGTCCGCAGTTCGAGCCTCGAGGCTCGAGGCTCGAGGCTCGAAGGCTCGAGGCTCGAGGCTCGAGGCTCGAGGCTCGAGGCTCGAGGCTCGAAGGCTCGAAGGCTCGAAGACTCGAAGGCTGAGGTCCGAGGGCCGCAGTCCGAGGCCCGATGTTCGACGTTCGAAGGTTGCGGTTCGAGGGTCGGGGTTCTCGGACGTCCCGCGAGCACCCCGACTGCGGCGCGGCCGCAGCATCGGCGCTGCAGGTTTTTTTGTGGCGCGGGTCCCCGTGGGGTCGACCACTTCGCCGGGGCTGCCCTGTCACCCCGAGTCGTTTTTTGACGGTCCCAGGGCCGGGGAGCGGCTTCCAGAGGCCGAAGCGACGCAAAGCTGGCCGCCACGATTTTAGTTTGGGGCAGCTTCTCTTCCCGGATCAGTTCCTGATGGCCCCGGGGACCTGAGGGCGGTCGTGAACGTTCCCCCCGAAGTCCGTAATTTTGAGAAAAGCGGGGCCGTCATTGAAGAGCGATCAGAATGTCGGAAATCTGTGAGGCTCCTGAGCAGGAGTTGCTGCTTCTCTTCTGCTCCTCCTTCTCCTCCTCCTCCGCCTCCTCCTCCTCCTCGCCTTCCTCCCCCTGCCGTGGGCCGCCGGCGCAGCGTCTCACCCGCTTCTGCTTGCGACTGCTCGCGCTTGATGTCTTGCCCACGCGCCGGATGGAGTACGGCTAGTGAGTGAGTGGCTGGTTTGTGAATTCAGAGAACTGTTCCCGGAAAGGGCCTGATCCCAGGGTTCTCTTTTAGTTGGTTTCCCCCCCGGTTTTGACGGCTGTAGGGCCGGCGAATTTCTTTTGCGATAAATAACGAGGTCGCGTAGGGCCGGCGAATTAAGATTTGAGGATGTCTCGAGCAGAACGCTTGTTTTTCAGAATTTGTTGAGGATGTCTCGAGCGAAACGCTTGTTTTGTGTTATAGCTTGTCCTCTCCTGGGGACCTGAATTCAGAGGATCTCTCAAGTGAAATGCTTGTTTTCACGTGCCCAGGTCTTGAGGATGTCTCGAGCGAGACGCTTGGTTTCACGCCTCCAGGTTGCCCAGCCAGATGTCTAGCATGAGGATTTGTTGAGAATGTCTCGAACCAGAGGCTTGTTTTCACGTGTCCAGGTCGCCCAGGCGGATGTCTAGCTTGAGGATGTGTCGAGAAAGTCTGGATCGAGACGCTTGTTTGCACGTGTCCAGGTTGCCCAGGCGGATGTCTAGCATGAGGATGTGCTGAGAACGTCTTGAGCGAAACGCGTGTTTTCACGGGTCCAGGTCGCCCAGGCACAGCACAGCACTCGGCACGGTACATCAATATCGATACCCCTAGCATTGCAGCCTGGCATGTTGCCTGGCACGTTCCGCGGAGCGTCCCGTGGCGAGTCCCCCTGGCACGTCGCGCGGTGCACGTCCATGGGCACGTTCCGTAGCGCGTCCCCTCGGCACGTCCCGCGGTGCGTCTTCGTGGCACGTCCCCTGGCACGTCGCCTGGCGCATCCCGTGGGACGTTCCGCGGCGCGTCCTCCTGGCATGTCCCCTTGTCCATTAGCTCTGGGGCAGCTACTATGTGCTGAGGCAGCTCGAGCTTAAGATCCAGATCAGTTCGGTCAGGACTCGGGTGCAAAGGAGGACTCGATCCACAACGCTATAAAGCACAATCGCGGCATGGCACATCGCAGTTCAGCACAGCGCAGCACAGCACAGGCCTCGGCACGGTACATCAAGATCGATACATTCAGCATTGCAACCTGGCACGTTCCGTGGCGCGTCCTGTGGTGAGTCCCTCTGGCACGTCGCGCGGCGCGTCTCCTGGCACGTCCATTGGCACGTCCATTGGCACTTTCCGTAGCGCGTCCCCTCGGCACTGGCACGTCCCGCGGTGCGTCTTCGTGGCACGTCCCTTGGCACGTCGCCTGGCGCGTCCCTTGGGACGTTCCGCGGTGCGTCCTCCTGGCATGTTCCCCTGTCAATTAGCTCTGGGGCAGCTACTATGTGCTGAGGCAGCTCGAGCTTGAGATCCAGATCAGTTCGGTCAGGACTCGGGTGCAAAGGAGGACTCGATCCACAACGCTATAAAGCACATTCGCGGCATGGCACATCGCAGTTCAGCATCAGCACGGCGCAGCACAGCACAGCCCTCGGCACGGTACATCAAGATCGATACATTCAGCATTGCATTTGCCCGTCGCCCAACCAGGTGTCTTTGAAACGTTGCCATGCTTTACATTTCTATATTCCTTTCCGGGTTCGTGGGTCGATCATGTTTTTTCGAATTCAAAACACTGGTTTGGGGCTTTAAGAACCGATCGGTTCTTGAATTCAAGAAACGATCGGACGGGGCTAGGACGAGGATAAAATCCGTTCCAGAGCGTTCCAGAACGCTACCAGGGCGCTCTGGAACGCTCTGAGAAGGCCCGCGGTGCCCGAGACATCCTCCAGAGCCGCGGGATCTCAGAGATGCTCCATGTACCCTGACTCGATTATCCTCTCCCTGGCCTTGTCGTGTAGCGCCCAAGAGCGTCCGATGCCGCGCTGGCCCCCAGGAGGGGGAAACACACACACGTACACAGAAATAATCGTCCACTCCCAGGGGAAATGCTGGAACATAGGGGAAGTGTAGGGGAAGACGAACATCAAGAACATGAGCAGCCTCCTGCGTCCGATCCGAGGCCGCGCTGAGGAGGAGGAGGAGGTGAGGAGGAAGAGGGAGGAGGAGGAGGAGGAGGAGGGAGGATGAGGAGGAGGAGGAGGAGGAGGAGGAAGAGGAGGAGGAGGAGGAGGAGGAGGAGGAGGAGGAGGAGGAGAGTAGAGGAGAGGATGTGGACAAAGGGAGGGGGGAGAGGAGGGGAGGGGGGGATAGAGGGGGAGCGTTACGAGGGGAAGGAGGGGAGTGAGCACGTCCAGCCACGCCCAGAAGCGTCCAAAAGCGTCGGCTCGCGAGAGCTCTGCAAGCGAGTCCTGAGCCAGCTTCGCGGGGCCCTGGCCGGGCCGTCCGCCTCTCTGCCACGCTGCGCAGACACACGCGCACCACCAGAGAACATCACCATCAGAGCATCATCGATAACAACAACAACAACACCAACAACAACAACAACAACAATTACTAGCACGTGGGGACACTCCGTTCTCACCAGTGCCAGGGTTTTCATACGACGCCCGCCAATACCCCCACTTTGTGGGGGGGCCGGTTCAAGCTCTACCACATTTCCAAACGACTCTTCGCCACCACCCACACCCAGCTTCCCGCCCTATGACGTTCGGACACTTCACTTCGTGGCCTGCGGACGACCGTGGCTACTACACTGGCGCATGGGTACAGTGACTTGTTGTGGTAACATTTTCTGGACGCTAGCTTAGTATACGACTTTTCCCCCTGTTCCAACACTGGACACCTGTACTGGTTTTATTTACGCGGTGCTAAAATTCCTAAGAAACCCAATGGTTTTTGAAGATTTCGGCGTGCGCGCGCGAAGAAAAAACGAATGTGTCCCGCATGGTATTATTTGACAGGGATGATGGCCCTGGCAGGTGCGCAACCGTTGTTGGAGAAGTTCGAAGCACGTGAAAAAGTTGCTCGCAAAAGCCCGTTTGACAGAAATGTTTAAAAAGTGTTGGGTTTCCTACAAATCCGCAAGAGCGCGCGGGATGACATTTTTACACTTTTTTTTTTTTTTGAAAAACCATTGGTTTTTTGATGTTTTTAGGTTAAAATCGCTACGAACACTAAGGTTTTGGAAGGATTTCGTCTTGCGCGCGCGAATGTCCACTTTACAATTTTTTTGCAAGGGATTCTTGAAGTTTGGTTATGTTAGAACAAGAAATGTCCACTTTGCTTTATTTTTTGCAAGGGGAAACCGCCCGTAACAAAACAACCGGATCCGGACCAACCCGTTTTGCCGGAGACTTCCTCACGAAAATGATGAAAACATGGCTGCGGCCTAGGCGCGGCGAGGGGGCCGCGCACCAGGGGTCCCAACAATAATTATTCATTAGAAGTAATAATGTTCAACAACAACAACAACAGCAACAGCAACAGCAACAGCAACAGCAACAGCAACAGCAACAGCAACAACACCAACAACAACAACAGCATCATCATCACCATCACCATCATCATCATCATCATCATCATTCTCATCATCATCACCATCATCATCATCATCATCAACCATCATCACCACCATCATCATCATCGGCACCATCATCATCCTCATCCTCACCCTCATCCTCATCCTCATCCTCATTATCATTCTCATCATCATCCTTTTCCTCATCCTCATCTTCCTAATCATCAGCATCAGCATCACCATCACCATCATCATCAGCAGCAGCATCACCATCAGCATCTGCATCTGCATCTGCATCTGCATCATCGTCATCATCAGCATAATCGACATCAACATCAGCATCAGCATCACCATCAGCATCAGCATCAGCATCAGCATCTGCATCATCATCAGCATCATCGGCATCAGCATCAGCAGCAGCATAATCAGCAGCATCATCATCACCACCATCATCGAGAACATCGTCATCGTCCGACCATGCCCGGAGGTGTCCAAGATCGTCCGAGGCCGCGCCGGAGCCCCGTCGAGCAGGGGACGGCGGACTTTGGCCTGTCGAACTACCTCCAGAAGAGCGTCCCGCTCACGACGCGGGCCGGCACGCCCTACTACGTGGCGCCCGAGGTGCCGCCACTCCGCCGCGGGGCAGGTCAGCGGCGCACGCCGGCGGCACCAGTCGCTTTCGCACGCCTCCGGGCGTTCTGGGACTCGGCGGCGAGCGTCGGGGGCCCCCAAGCGGGGTGGTGACCACACCGTGTGGTGAGTCGGTGGGGGTTCGGGGTCACCGCACGGTTTTGGGACTCGAGCCCCTCTCCGAGGATGTCTTGGGCGACAGGGGCCTCCAGGGTCCCAAGACCGTGCGGTGACGGGCCGTGCGGTGAGGTCTCTTGGGGTTCCGAGGTCACCGCACGGTCCGTCACCACACGGTTTCGGGATCCCCAAGAGCGAGGGGAAGGGACCGGTAGGGAAACGAACAATGACAGAAACACAACAGCTCGGAGGTCCGCGCGGATTCCTTGGATCGGCGCTGGAGCCCCCGCGCGCCAGGGAGCGCGGTCCAGTGTTGATATGAGGAGTCCGCGCCGACCTCCGAGTTTTTATTGTTATGTCATTGCTCGTTTCCCCAACCAGGGGAGGTTCGCATTTCTCGCAAGGGCGCTGGGGAGTGACCCGTTGCCAGAATGACCTTTGGATGCCTTCGGTGCAGGGCTCCCGGGGGCCGCGGGGGGGGGGGCACGCCCAAGCGCGCGGGCCGCCACTGTCGCATCGAAGGCGGCGATCGGCAAGCCGCGCAACGAAGGTCCCTCCTGTTGGCGGCGAGCGACGGGGGGGGGGGGGGGACGTGGGAGGGCAAAGGCCTTCTCAGAAGACGGCGGGGCCTCCCAGGAGCCCTCGCCCCCTCCCGAGAAGCTTTCCGCGCCTTCGGGGAGAGCCTCGGCAACTTCTCAGAAGGCCGGGGGGCTTCCAAGCCTGCTCCTCCTCCTCCTGCTCCTCCTCCTCCTGGGAAGGCCCGCCCCTTCTCACTTCCCCCTGCGCCCGCCGCCGACGGACGCCTTCGTCGCTCTCGGCGTCGATGTCGTATCGGAGGCTTTGGCGTTGTGTTCGGACGCCTTCGGCATCCACGTCGCGTCGGGCGCTCCTTGGGATGTCTTCGTCTTCTGGGGGGCAATTTCCCGACTGGTTCGCAGGCTCCCGGAGATTTTCTTGGCTCGGGTCAGGCGATCACAAACGTGGATCAAGGGGGCGTAGATTAGCGATGGGTCCCGTTTCCACAGGAAATCGCGGATCTCCGCCGCCGAACGAGGCGGCACCCGCCGCGTTTCGGGACGGGCGCCTCCCCCGATCCATGGATTTGGCGACCGCGCGCCAAATCCACGATCGGTAATCCATGTTTGCGCGCCCCCGACTTCTCGGGTTGCTGCAGGCGCGTGCCACGGCACTGGAAGGCCACAGGCCACAGCGCCAAGAATGTCGCACTGTGCCGTGTCTGGGTCGGGCTCCCTGGGCGATTGGCGTCGTGATGCCGGGCGACGAGATCTGCACATGTCCACTGCTCCCGGGCCAGGCCCATCCTGAACCCAGGATCGCCAATCTAGGAGGAGGAGCATCTAGGAGAAAGAGGAGGAGGGGGAAGAGGAAGAAGAAGACGACAGGGAGGAGGAGGAGGAGGAGGAGGAGGAGGAGGAGGAGGAGGAGGAGGAGGAGGAGGAGGAGGAGGAGGAGGAGGAGGAGGAGGAGGAGGAGGAGGGGAGGAGGAGGAGGAGGAGGAGGAGGAGGAGGAGGAGGAGGAGGAGGAGGAGGAAATAGCAGGGAGGATGAGAGCACAGAGCACATCCTGAACCCAGTTGGCGCGCCCCCGGAGGGCTTCTTGCCTCGGGGCCTTCTCTGGCGGCTGCGCCCGGCCGAGGGAGCGCTCTCTGGAGCGCCCGGACCTGCGGACGGGAGATCACCGAAGACCTGTGCAGACCAGACTGGCGGAGAGCAGGCCACCCGTGTCTTAGCGCCCTGGCGAATCACAGCTCCTGTTCAGTGCCGTTTCGAGGGGGGTGGGGGGAGGGGGGGAGGGCTTCTTAGAAGCACCCCTGCTTCTCAGAAGGCGCGGGCCTTGTCTGCAGATGCAGGGCCGGCGCCTTCTGAGAAGCAGTCCTGCTTCTACGAAGCCCTCCACCCCTCCCACCACCCCCTTGTGCGCGCCGCCAGCCGAGATGTGTTTCTTGCTGTCTCGATCTCGGCGTTTTTCTCAATTTCGGCGTTTGGGGGCCGTTCGGGTCCCAGGGAAACGGTCGGGTCTGCAGGTGCCGCAGATTAGAGACATCACGTCGTCGTCGGGGGTCCGGAAATCCAGTGAACCTTGTCTGGGGGGCCCTGCAGTCTCTCTTCGCCACGCCTGGGCGCTGCTCTGACAACCAGCCGGGGCTGTCCTCGAGAGGGGAGCAGTTGTTGAGCGCATGTTTGGCCCGGGGCTTGACGCGGCTCGGGAAATTGGCCAGAGTGGGCCCCGAGAGGGCTCTCTGGGGACAGGCTTTGGCTGCGGGGCGAGAGGACGGCCGCCGCCCAAGACGGCAGGGGGGCTTCCGAGGAGCCCTCCCACACCGGACGTGGGAGAGTTCCTCTTTCGGTTTCTGCTGTGCGCTCTGCTGCGACATTGGTGCGTCTTTTGCCGTGCGGCGTGGATCTGACCGCCGTCTGTGTGGCTGCAAATTCGTTGTTCCCAGACTTACTTTCCGTGCAGATGTGTCGCACGTGCTTGACTCTGAGCCGTTGATCTTCTACGGGGGAGGCGGGGTGGGGCTATTCATCAAATTGCCAAAGTGAGCCCTGAGCTGTTCCGCCCTACGTTGTCGTCGGCGTCGTCCTCGTCGTCGTCGTCGTTGGTCGGCTGGGCGGTCGGTCGTCGTTAATTGGGCGGTCGCCGTGTCAGTCTTCATCGTCGCTCGTCGGTTGTCGGTAGTCGTCGTCGTCGTCGTCGTCGTCGTGGTCGTCGTCGTCGTCGTCGTCGTCGTCGTCGTGGTCGTCGTCGTGGTCGTCGTCGTCGTCGTCGGTCGGCCATGCGGTTCCAGCTTTTTGAGATGCGCTGGACAATTGCCATCGGTAGGCGCCATTGCGGCCGCATTGGTTGTGCCAAACCAGCGGGCCGCTCTGGTCGCGAGCTTGCGCGCTAGCGCAGCAGAGATGTGCCAGCCAGTGCCAAGGAATCACCGCAACCGCGGCCGCACGGATTTTGCAAAACAAGCTGCGGGTGGGAGCTTGGAATCATTGCACTAGCAGTGGAGCTGTTAATTCTGTAGTAAGAGTTCGCTAACTGCACTGCGTAGCTTGCACCACCCAGTTGGCGCCACATGGTTGGTGCCCCATAGCGTACATTACATAGTTTGCCCTGCATAGAGCTGACACCGCATTGCTGGCACCACATATTTAGCTAATCGCATGGCACACGCCATACATCTCGCTATCTCTCTCCCTCGTATATACAATACACCACACACATACGGCACCGCGCACCCTACGCATCCGCACTGCAACGACTCACTGTCTGGGCCCACGCTGGCAATCAAAATTTCTCATGGAATTCGGATCGTGCTGTGTCCATGTGTTTGTTGCTGTGCTTCTGGGGGTGGTTGATCACATCGTTGGCCTCCCCTGCTGCCCTCCGTGACTGGGCACCAAGCGTGTACGGAATGGGCACCTCTTCCCTGCCCTTCTCCTTCCCCGTCTCTGCCCGTCCTCCCCTTTCGCTGGCGTGTATCAGCCTGGCGAACGAATTGCTCAATCCGATCCTTTTTCTCCTCCCTCATCTTTTCTCCCTCCCTCCTCCCTCCGCTCTCCTCCTCCTCCTCCTCCTTCTCTTTCCTCCTGTTTCCTCCCCTTGCCTCCGCCCTCCTCCTCCCTCCTCCCTCCCCCATCCTCCTCCTCCTCCTCACTCGTCCTCCTCTTCCCTCTCCCTCCTCTTTCCCCCTCCTGAGTTCTCCCCCTCTGACGAATTCGTGTGTCGCCTCATAACGAAGCGACTCCACGCGGTAGTGGTCCACGACCACCACCATTGCCGCCACGACCACGACCACGACCACGACCACTGGCCGTCGCCGTGGTCTGAGTCGTGGTCGGTGTCGTCGCCGTCGCCGCCGCCCGTCAGGTGCTGCGCGGGATCCACGACGAGCGGTGCGACCTTTGGAGCTGCGGGGTGGTCATGTACATCCTCCTGTGCGGCGAGCCACCTTTCAACGGGAGCCCGCTCCACTCCACTGCCTCTTTCGCCGCTGTCATTGCGGCAGTTGCCGATCTCCAGTCGCGATGTTGGCATCTCTCGTTTTTACCTAACAGCGAAGACTGATAGGTTTCTAGTGGGATCAAAAGAGAGCAGCAGATCACTCCACAGGGGGGTCCGGGCAGGTGTTGGGAGTTGCCGGGCGGCAGTGAGCCGGGCTCGTTTTTCACCAACAGTCACACACTTCGTGCTCTTCGCCTTCCCAGAACTCCATTCCCAGGCCACATTCTGGGGGGCCGGATGCAACTGTAGGCCACTTCGTGCTCTTCTATTTCCCAGAACTCCATTCCCGGGCCACATTCTGGGGGGCCGGATCCAACTGTAGGCCACTTCGTGCTCTTCCATTTCCCAGAACTCCATTCCCGGGCCACATTTTGGATGCCCGGAGCCAACTGTAAGCCACTTCGTGCTCTTCCATTTCCCAGAACTCCATTCCCGGGCCACATTTTGGATGCCCGGAGCCAACTCTAGTCCACTTCCTGGTCTTCGAGTTCCCAGAACTCCATTCCCGGGCCACATTTTGAATAGCCAGACGCTTCATACTCCTTCCGCCACAGCTGTGTTTGGTTCAGGACTTGCTAGTGACACTGCAGTCCTCTGCATTCAATCGTGCCACTGCATTCATTCACTGCAGACCACTGAGTTTTGATTGCAATGGCGTTCCCCTGGCCGTACCCCCATGTCCAACGTTCATCCGCAGCCTCTGCTCCGCGAGGCTCGTCCGAAGTGTCGCCGCCTCGCGGTGCTTCTCAGCCTGCGCCGCCTCGCGGTGCTTCTCAGCCTGCGGAGGAAGGTGGACAGACGCCTGGTTCTGGCGCTGTGCAGCCTGCGTCTTTCACGGTCGCCTCGTTCAATTTCGGGTTCGAGCAGGGCATGATGACTGGTAAGCAGGCGGCCACTCACTGCGCTAACTTCGGAAGGTGTGCGCCACGATAGTGGAGACCGCTGATGCTGATATTGTCTGTGGCTGCGAGGTCGGTGCGTTCCGTGAAGGCTTTCGCCGAGCAGGGATCAACGTGACAGAGATCCTCAGTAAGCCTTTCGGTGATGGCATTCGCTTCTCGGAGGTCGACAACTACTTGACTCTCTGGGGGTTCCGCGGTGCTTCTCAGCCTGCGGAACTGACTCTGTGCGAAGACAGCAAAGTTTACAGGCCTCCTAGCGGCCGAGAGATTGATGCTGTTATTTCACATTTTGAGGTGAACAAACCAGGCCATGACAAGTTCCACGTGGTGATCGCCAACATGCACATCGTGTGCGGCAAGAAACCGCCGACCATCCAGACTCGAAAGCGGACAGTTCGCCATCTCCGCTTGCACCTGGACGGCCTGGCCAAGATTCTTGAGAATCTAAACCAGGCAGTCGTTCTGCTTGTAGTCGGCGACGACAACCTCACTTTCCAGGAGGCGCGGGAGGCTTACCAGCGCCAGCAGAACGACGAGAAGGTATGGGAGGTCCATGCCACTCCGGCCGACCTCAAAGGCGACCACGTCGCGGTCTGCGGAGCAGTCGCCCGTTTCTGCTCCATTGCCGTTGGCGCGTCTTTTACGGATCGTGGCATGCGCAACGACGCACACGATGCGGTGGCGGTTGTGCTCACTCTCCCTGGTGCTATTCAGCCTGGGGAGAGCAAGAGGCGGAAGATTGTCGTCGAAAACGTCTCCGACGCCGACGTCAGCGTACAGGCGGACCGCGAGTCTTCTGTGCATTGGGATCGGTCGCCGAGTTCTACTCCTCCGCTTTCACCGACTTCACCGGGTGATCCCGACTACGTCGAGGATGTCGTTCAGAATCGCGCGGACGACTTGCACAGGGAGCTGAGGCAGCTTTGGGACGACAGGTACGACGAGGAGTACGATCCGAAAGTCCTCCATCATCTCAGTCTCTTGCTTTTCAAAAAGAGGAAGTCCACGGAGCCAGCGGACACTAATCCAGCTGGCGCTCCTCAGCCTGGCTCGGAATATGACGCGGCCTTTGCGTCTCAGGAGGAGACTGGCCGAGCCATTCTCTCTGTCCTTAAGCTTCGACATGACTTTCTGCGGAGCAAGAACATCGACGACATGCGCTACGTTCTCACGGAGCCTGAGCGCCAGGAATTGGTCAGAGTAGCTCGCGACCAGTACGAGCAGTCGCGGCAGCAGCGTGCGCTTCAGGAACGGGATATCGAAAAGGGAAAAGCGAAAGGCAAGTCTGCGCCACAAGGGGGCCATGCGGTTCCGCAGGGTCCTAACAAAGGGCCAGGCGGTAAGAAAGGTTCTCACGGTGCTTCTCAGCCTGCGGGAAAAGGTGGCCAGGCCAAGGGTGCAGGTCTGGGTAGCGTCGCCAAGTTTGTGAAAGACCAGAAGCGTAAGCGGTGGCATCGCCATTTGCAACGTGTGGCCGGTACCAAACAGATCTGGGAGGTGCTGGCCTTCTCAGGGCGCTTCGACGTTGATTGGCTAACGCAAGCGTTGCAAGCTGATCACAGTGAGGGCCGTGATGCAGCAGTTCCCGAGGAAGCTCTGCGGCAACAGCGGCGCCGGCTGCACCACCAGAAGGCCGAGGCCATCGCGCGCTACAACGAGGGGGAGCGGCTTTCCCTCCATCTGTCTGCCCAGGCTGGCCAGCCAAAGCCGAACTTCACGCGCAGGCAGCTGGACGTGTTGCAGATGTTTGAGAGCGGAGCGCTGCTTCAAATCCGCAACCAAGCGATTCTGGCGTTGGGGCACGGCCGTCTGTTCAGGGGCGATGGCGACTACCTGGACATCGGCGGCAGCACGGGCGGTGGCTCCAGGCGCATCATCGATTCTTGGCAGCCGCCGGACTGGCGTGACTTCCTCCAAGACGATCAGGACATCTGAGTTTTGCAAGTCTCCCTGCCCGCGGTGCTTCTCAGCCTGCGGTCTGCCGCTCTCCAGCTGCGGTCTCGAGCAGTAGTGTTCGAAAGCATGCGAGTTCCTGCGGTGCTTCTCAGCCTGCAGGTTTCGCAGCCTGCGCTCTGCAGTACAAGTGCTTTTCAGCATGCGACATCCTGCGGTGCTTCTCAGCCTGCAGGGTTCGCAACGTGCGGTTTGCAATGCATTCCTTTTCAGTATGCGAGTTCTTGCGGTGTTTCTCAGGCTGCAGGGCTCCGAGGCTCTTCGCTTCGATGCCAATGTTTTCAGACACCGTAGCTCCGTTCCGTAAACATCTTCCAAGAGCCGCTCGCAACCTTTTGCAGCTGGCGGTCTGCAGACGTAGTCTGTCTCAGCATGCGAGCTCCCGCACGCTTCGCCGGCTTTTGCTGCGCGGACAATTTTCTCACACACGTCAGCGCCGTTTGTAGGCGTCAGAAAAACATGTAGACATTCACGAAGGGCTTAGTCTGTATATCGTCACATCATTACATACGCAGTCGTCGAACACATCGGTGTACATTCAGCGCTTTGTCCTTCTACAGCATTCTTTCCGTTGATAACAGTGTTCTGATGGGTTCGCTTCGTTCTAAAAGCGTTGATAGCAGTGTCTCGTTTGCGGACAACTCATTCTATATCAACTCACTGATACCGAGTTTCCTTTCACCATAAGTGAATGCATACCAGTGTATGTTGGTTACTACAAAAGTGGGTTCCTACAACCGACTTCATGATCGCTATCATCATCGCAGATTTCACTCATCCTCATCACCACGACTGGTTCACGTTGGCCTGCGGTGCTTCTCAGCCTGCAGTTCCTTTCGTTACACTGTAGTTGAAGCCGTTCATGGCAGTGACTCGTTTAAAGACAACTTTAGTATTGGGGGAAGTGTCGATAGCAGCGTTTCTTTTTACTTATACAAGCGTTGATAGCAGTGTCTCGTTTGTGGACAACTCATTATATATCAACTCATTCATACAGAGTTTCTTTTCGCAGCAAGTGAATGCACAGCAGTGTATCTGCATTACTGGCCCCCACTCCATTATCACTATCATCATCAACGATTTCCTACACGCGTGTGCGCGGCGGTCGCCATGAGTGAATAGTTTGCAGAGACTTCTCGCATTGATACCCATGGGTCACTTCAGAGTGAACTCATTTGTGATCTTCTTTCATTGGAAGTTGAATCGGTTGATGGCAGTGCCTCGTTTAAACTCCACTTTGGTATTGCTAGTAGTGTCAATGCCAGCGTTTCTTTTTAATTGTGCAAGCGTTGATAGCAGTGTCTCGTTTGTGGTTAGTTATAACAGCGTTGACAGCAGTGTCTCGTTTGCGGACACCTCATTGTACATCAACTCGCTGATACCGGGTTTCCTATCAACACCATCATCATCATCCTTAACCATGTTTGCTCGAGTTTCACCTGGCCGTCCAGCCGCGGCGGTGCTCCTCAGCCTGCCTTGTCACAATGCCAGCACGCGGCAAGGCATCGCCCCCGCCACCCCCGGCCCCGTGCGATGGCCCGTGGGAGATTCTGCCGGATCCGCCCGCACCGACTCCTCAGCCAGGTGTCGACGTGGTCTTTGAGCAGGCTCACCTCGAAGACATCCGCCGTACACCAGGGATGGGCGGCAAGACCGCCTGCCAGTGGCAGCGCGCGCTGCGCGCCGAGTGCATTGTCAACAACTTGTCGTTCAAAGACGTAACAAACGACCCGTCCTACGACTGGAAGCAACTGCTTCGGTCTGCCGCTCCGGGTTTCGCTGAGCGCATAATCGGGCAGGGCATCGCCCAGGTTCTCTTTCGCATCATCGAGACAGAGCGCGACCCTAACTACTCCAACACGGATGGCCACGGCAGGCACTTCTTCGAGTTCCGTCGTGCAGACGGTTCAGCCATGCGCCTGCATTACCATAAGAACGGCCGACCCGATGAGCCCACCTATGTCGGTCCACCACGCGCCGTTGCTCAGCCTGCCGTGCCTGAGCCTGGCGCTGCTCAGCCTCATGTTCCTCGTGGCGGCGCTGCTCAGACTGCCGTGCCTGACGGTGGCGCTGCTCAGCCTGCCGAGACTGGCGGTGATGCCCCACTGCTCTTCACACAGGAGCACCTGCAAGAGGCAGCCTGCTCGCGCCAGATTGTGGGCCGCGACGAAGCCAGCGCCGCTCTCCAATCGCTGTTGCACTACCACC